TCCACTGCCAGCGCTCGCCAGGGTACCTGGGTATGGGGGGACAGGTATGCTCTTTCAAGTGGGGATTTGGGCGGTGTCCAAGGGCTGATCCTGTACCATGTTCATCTTTAAACAGGGAAATGAGAAAGGTGGCCAGCCCGTGTTTCTCTCAAAAGCAGGAGGAAAGTCCCTCTTCAGTTTTTAAACCCACAGATGTGGTGGCTTGTCACTTACATTGGAGTTGACCTTAGAAAATCATCTGGGGTTTCTCCCAAAGACACCGAATGGTCACCCCGTTGGCAATTGTCAGAGGAGGAGAATCCCGTGTCCGTTCCTGGATGAGAAGACAGCGAGGGCACATCTAGACCACCTCCTCCTAGACCACTAGTGGAAGCCATGGGGCCTTTCTGGGTCTGGGCCTCTGGCTCTTCTGCCAGACAATTATGGTACAGCGGAGGCTGTCACAATGTGACGCTGGATGTGGAAGCAGACTGTTGCCAGCTGGCTTGGTACAGCTGTCGAAAGAAGAGTCGTCTGAATTTCTTATCAGTTTCCCCAAAGATGAGGAGGAAGACAGAACTGAAATTTTAAGTGTAGCTAATGAAACATCACACAGCATACGGGTGGGAGTCATCAGAGGCAGCTCAGAACCTGGTGTTCGTCCTGGCTTGCTTTGGGTCAGGCCTCCCTGGAAGACCAGCAGCCCTTGGAGTAGGAGAAGCAGAGCTCTAGGAATTCTACTGAGATTTCCAGTCTCAAGACTGGAGATCCCTGGCTCCCTTTGGTGAAGGCCCACCCTGGGTGGCTTAAGATCACCTAGAAACTTGGGAGCCATGATTCTTTCCTCCTGATTAATGCTGGGACCCATCTGGGTAGCATCAACAAGCTCAGACTGTAGAAAATTATCTTCAAGCTTAAAGCTAAGCAATTCGAGGCTACATTATTGCATATCTTTCCTATTTTCCCTAGTAGTAGAAGTATGAACGTTCTCTGAATGCTATTTTCCATTGCAAAGAAAACCAAGCTACCTTCTGATCAAAATCATCTATAGGGAATAGCAGTTAGCGTAATGGCTATGTCGCTGGACTCCCCCGTAGTCGACCGTGGTTCGAGTCCCAGACCCAGTGGCTTAAACTCACGCCGGGCGCGTGTGCATGCGTGCCCAAGATCCCGAGAGGAGAATGGAGGAGAAGAGATTGCAGTGTGGCCATCCCCCCAGAGGGTGATTTTTTGCTTTCTGTCTGTCTCTCTATATCTTTCTGGCGAGTGCACGTGCCCTGTAGCAAAAACCTCTCCAAAACAAACAAACAAACAAACAAAAATTTTCTATAAAATAGCCAACTACTCACCTAGTTTGGTGCGTGGGGTGGGTGGACAAAGCATTTTAATCTCAGTAAAACAGAAAGGTGTAGTCAAGCTGGATCTGCTACAAAGCAGCTCGCTAGAAGACCTTGCCTGCCCCCCTCCCCCTGCCCCTGGTTCAATACCCTAAAGACTAAATGACCATGATCTGGGGAGCGAGTCCATTCCAGCTTTTCCTTGGGCACATGCCAAAGTCCAGGGACTGGTTGCAAAATCCAAGCTAGAAACTATTTATACCAGTAAAAAGCTGAGAGGCATCAATGACAGAACTCTTGGCCAGGGTCTGTCTATGGTCTGGGGTCCCCTCAGGAGGAGGTCAGGGGATGTTTGAACAATCAGAAGTGACTTAGAAAGGGAACAGCTGCCCTGCAGCTCTCTGCAAATCAAACTCCACAAAGTATGCTTGCTCATACTGCTGAAATTTGTTTTAGTAACTTTTTTTCTAATTAAAAATTATTCTAGCCTGCTTATAATTAGTCAAAACCTGAAAACAACCCAAATGTTTAAAAATAACAGAATGGATAAATATGTATTTATACAATGGAATACTATACAGCAATGCAAATGGACTAGAGCTGTAAGAATGTGGATAAGTCTTACAAAAATAATTAAACAAAATATAGAAAGCACTTTAAAAGGAAACACAGAGTATGGTCCCATTTATATTAAGTTCAATGATAGATAAATACCTTATTTTGTTTAGGGACACATACATGAATGGTTAAAAGAGTAAAAAAAAAAAAAATGGTGAACCAGCATATGGCATAATGGTTATGTCCTGGACCACATAGTTGAATGTAGTTCGAGACCCAGACCTGATGGCTTCAAACTCATGGGCTGCATGTGCGTGCATGCCCAAAATCTGAAGAGGAGAATGGAGGAGAAGGTACTGTGGTGTGGCCATCCTCCCGAGAGGTGATTTATTGCTGTCTCTTTGTCTCTCTCTGTCTCTCAGGTGAGCACGTGTGCCCTATATTAAAAATCCCCCCCCCCCCCAAAGTAAGGAAATGACTGAGGAGGAAGAACAGGATTTAGGGAAAGTTTCCTGTGTCCTGGTAATGTTATATCTCTTGCTTTGGGTGGGAATTTGCTTTATAATCACTTGTTAAATTATACATTTGTACTTTAGGTACTTTTCAGTATGCTTATTTCATAATGTTTTAAAAAACTAGATACACAAAAATAATATTTGCTTTCTATGAATCAAATGCAAAATCAAGCCTAATGTATTCCAAAACATCATTGAAAGAAGTTAAAGAAGACCTACATAGATAGAAAACCATCCCAGGCCCATGGGTAAGGAGATTTAATATTAAGATGGCATTATTCTCTGAATTTATCTATACATTCAAGGCAATTCCTATCAAATTCTCAGATAGCTTTTTTGCAGAAATGGAAAAATTGATTCTCAGATTGGTATAGAATTCCAAAGGCCCTCAAATAGTCAAAACAATATTGAAAAAGAAAAACAAAGCTGGAGGACTCACTTCCAGTTTCAAAACTGACTACAGAGCTACAGTAACCAAAGTAGTGTGGTATCGGTAAGAACAAAAATACAGGTGCAAATCTTCATGAGCTTGTATTAGGCAATGGTTTCTTAGATGTGGACACCAAAAGTATAAGCAAAAGTAGAAAAAAAAATACAAAAAGTACTAAAAAAGATAAATTGGACATCCTCAAAAAATATTTTTGTCCTTCACTATGAAGGGTGAAAAGTCAACCTACTGAATAGGAGAAAATATCTGCAACTTGTATATCTCATAAAGGCGTAGTAACCAGAATAAAGAACTCTTACGACTCAACATCAACAACAAAACAATTTATAAATAAGCAAGATAAATGAACAGACATTTCTCCAAAAAGGGTATACAAATTTCCAATAAGCTCATGAAAAGATGCACAACATCGTACTTCATTAGAAAAATACAAATCAGAACCACAAGGAGGTACCTCTTTACATCCCCCAGGATGGTTATAGTCACAAAGATGGATAATATGCTGTGTCAGGGGGAGCTAGACAATATTAGAGTGGTGAAATATGGTGCTCAGTAAAGCTGACACTCGTGGCAGAGTACTGGGTTCACATCCACAGACCTCCCTGAGTCTGGCAGGCTGCATGTACCCATGATCTAGGGCTGGCTGGGACTCGGGGTGGGGTGGATCTGAGTCAAGACACTGTTAGGGATGCTGTCTGTCTCATACATGGAAGAAATAAATAACTATGCTTAAAATAAAAAATGTTGAGAGGATACAGGGAAACTGGAGCCCTTGTACATTGCTAGTGAGAATGTAATAGCCACTTTCAAACAGTCTAGCAGGTCATCACGAGATTAAATATAAAGCTACTAATAATCTGTCAATTCCACTCTCAGATATCTATCCAAGAGAACTGAAAGCCTACATCCATACAAAACCTTGTACTCATATGTTGGTAGCAGCATCATTCATTTAGAAAAATATTATCATGTTACTGTTCATCTAAAAGGTGGTCTATTCATACAATGAAATATTATCCTACCCTAGGAAGAAATGAAGTACGGATACAACTTGTATAAACTTTGAAAACATTATGTTCAGTGAAAAAAAGACAGACACTGAAGCTACATAGTATATGATTCTATGTATGTAAAATGTCCAGAATATAAGTATATTCATAGACACAACAGTATGTTAGTGATTGCCAGGGCTAGAAGGAGGAAGCTTGCTTGGTAGGGGGTTGGAGTAACAGTTACAGGATAAGAGTTCTTTTGGGGATGATGCAAATGTAGACTTAGATAATGGTGATGGTTGCACAAACTTGTGAATATAAAAACCACTCAATTGTACAAGTCAAGGGCCAATTTTAATGTATGTGAATTACATTTCATTTAAAAATTTGGAATTTTTAAACAAGAACTAAAACCCTGTGAATTGGGAATGTTTCACTTTTAAATACCATACCTAATAATCTACATTTAAAAAAAAATTTTTTTTTTAAAAAAAGCTGTAAACACCCATTTCCCCAAGTCGTGAAGACCATACCCTAGAATTGTTTTCGCTATGGTGGAAAGAACGCCTCCAACACCCCACCATCCACACGACACACACACACACACACACACACACACACACACACACACAAAGCTGGCTGTAAGGAAGGAAAGTGTGTAAGTCCTAAAAATGCCAGTCCTTCCCCGCACAGCACAAAATGTACCAGCCATTTGGCCAGAGAAACGGATAGCTCTAGGAGAAGTCTTAGGGGACGCGGACCGGACGTGGGGACACAGGTGCAGAGGGCGCAAGGGTGTGGTGTGGGGCGTGGGCGGAGCGTGGTGGGCGGGGCGAGACTCAGGGGCCGGACGCGGGGGCTACCGGGCGGAGCAAGTAGGGCGCAAGGGCGTGGTCTGGGCTCCCGGGCAAGGGGTAGGGGCCTTGGGCGTAGGGGCGGGTCCCAGGGACTCCGGCCCAGATGGGCCGGGAGGGAACGGGAGCGGTCCGGAGGCGGGAGAGCCGGGAGGCGGGTGGGGCGGGCGCAGGGGCG